TCGCAAGGAGTCGCTCGCTGCAGCTGCGGCGCACGTGGAGGTAAGGGAAGCCACCTGCCGCTGGGTGGCTCGTCTTTTGTTGAGTTGGTACCCTCCTTTTTGGTGGTTTTGAACGGAAACCAAGCGACACTCCCATTTGTTTGGGGGTCCCCATCAAAAGCACACAGCCATGTATTAATTTAAAGCAATGGCAAGGGGACCGGGAAATTTACGGCCCTTGGTCACTAATAGGCTGCAATGGCTCCCCTTGCTCAGCTCTGAAGCAGTAATATGACGTTAGAAGGCCACGACGCGCGCCAGCTAGTTCTTTTCCTTGCGCTTAGTACAATGAGCCAAGCTTGGCTCAGAAAAGTTATGACTCCAGTTGTTGCCCAGGTGTTCACTAGTGGCAAGGCCATTTCCTGAACATTGATCGGCAAACTCAAATTTCGACTGGCATATCTCGTAATTGGCTCACATTTATTCTTGGCATATTTGATAGTAAATGATCCTCTTGAGGGTGTGAGTTTTCTTGGGGACCTTTTGGACATCATGGGATTTGTGTCCACCTATTTTCAAATTGTTCCCTTACATTGATACTATGCCTGCCCGGCATTTTCAGAGTAAACCTCCAAGTTTCTGGACGTCAAAAGGGGTTTCAAAAGGAGATGGTTTGTTGGTGGTCGACACGTTCATGTGGAGGTAGATGTTAACTGATGTCCCTTTGTCAACCGATTATCTCCCTTGTGCCGATTGCGATTTCGCGGTTTCGTACAGCCAGGTCCGGATCAGACCTCCCGACCTCAGCGCGGAAGGACCTGCCAGCAACCCACCGAAAGCCGCGCTGTGCTTTGCTCGCGCACGTCTGAGCTTGGCATAGTGCTCTTACCGTGACAGAGAGGGTCGGATTGCCCCCTTGTAGCACTTCTGTTCTTCCGTTCTTCTGTTCTGTTTGTGTTTTCTCTTCTGCTGGGCTCACGCTTGTCTCACATCGCTGTTTGGAATCTGAAACAGCGCCCTGTGACGTCTCCTTGGGTCTTTCCAAGCGAAGTTAGCCACTGTACAAAGTGGACAGATCTTTTAAAGGGAAATCTAAGGGTGTCGCAAGGGCCCGTTATGTTATTTGACGTGCGGGACCGCTGGGAAATGGCCCACCCAAAACCGATACCTTGTCAGCAAGTGGGTGGCTCGAGCAGGAGCCGCAGCGGGCCTTTTCATCCACACTGGAAGTCTCTGGAGCGGCCGCCTCGTGGGATGGTTGCTTTGTGGCTATGATTTTCGGTAGAAAACCACCTCAAAATGATTGACAAGTCCCAACCTAAATAGTGTCCACAAAAAGGTCAATTATTTTTTTGCCCAAGCGGGTGTCTAAAATCGGCCTGGGCACCAAAAAGGGTGGGGTCAACCGAATTCAGAGCAGCTTAGTACCACTCCGACAAAGGCATTATTTCGACATTGATGTGTACAGTATGTGCGCGTTTGTGTTTGTGTTGCTTGACACATTCATCTATTTCCAATTCTAAGTTCTAAGTGCCCAGTTTTGCAGGCCTCTCTGGCGTTGTCATCAGCTAAGGCGCACATAGACCTGGGCTTGTCTCGCAGAGAAGTGCAAGCTTTCCTTTGACGCAGCCCGCCAACAATCAGCTTCCCCCCAATTCGATCTAATTCGTGGTTTGGATTGGTGGTTTGGAGCTTGGGGGTCCGTTCTCCATAATCCAAAAACCATTAATCCAAGCCACCAACTGAAACTCGGTACCAACTCAGAGACACACAAATCACAAATCGGACTTTATGGCTTTGGGGTGGGCCTCGGTTTTCTATAGGAATGCATTTTCTGCGGCGGTAACCGTTTATTGATGTTTGTATTCGGAAAGCACCTAGGCGGGCTTCCCCGGTGGTTAGAGGGTAGCCAACGACTGGGTCAGTTTGCCAATCCCAGGTCTGGGGTTCTTTTGGCGGGGTCCGATTTGGATCCCTGGGCGTTGGCTTGGTGATTTGCCGTAGTCAAAGGGACGGGCAAAAAGACGGGCTGAATTTGGGGTCTGACTGCAGGACTCTGAGCTCATGCACTGGAGCAACCGACCTTGTTGGTGTATGGGTGTTCGAGGCCCTCTGCAAATTGCGGGCCAGGGGTATTGCTATATTTTGATTTGCCGTAATCTTGTGGGGCCTTCACATGTTGGAAGTTTTCAAGGTGCCTGTTATGTTTTTGTTTGCAGGGAAAGCACATGGACACTGGTTGGTCAGTTGAAGGTGCCATTGTTGGTCGCCCTTTGAAGCTAGCCCGCAGAAGAGGTGCTCTCCAAAAAGACAGCCAAAGGTGTTGGGTATTTTCCCGGATCGCTTTGCACGAGCTGAGGCTCGGATGTCGGGGACCAGCTGACAACTTGCTCCGCGCTGGCACTGCTGTGCCGCTTGGAGTGAGCGGTGAGGGTTGAGCGATTCAACCCCTTGCTACACGGGTGAAAATTCTAGCAACATCATGTCGGCTTTCCTTGAGAGTCAACAAGGGGGACAATTGCAGCATCCGTTGAGGGGCATATGAATATAGACATGTGTACATATTGTATAATATATGTATATAGACATACATTGCACACTAGGGTACATTTGCGGGGCCTTTGTTGTGATGGATGTCTCAGGCTGTCCTGCAACCAACCCGCACTTGAGCTTCCAGGCCAGCGCTTGAGCGCCAAGTGATTCCCGGCCGCCCGCTTCGTTAGGTTTCTAGGTTGTTAGCCGGTTTAGTGAGGCTTCCATACAACCCACAAGTGAAACTTTAGCAGGGGATTTGAGGACAGCCCAGGGTATAGGAAGACCTATGTTTTGGATCGGATATCTCGAGTATCCATGTTGGTAAAGCCACAAGTCAATGGGTTTTTCAGCGCTCCATGAGTGCTCAATGCTTGGCTTGGGTCGGTATTTATTCAGGCTGGCTGTGTTTGTCTAAAGCGACACCTATCCGGGTTTAGCAAGTTATGGACGCCAGGCCATTGAGCCCAGGTTGCTTCTTGTTGGAACCCGATTCTCGCTGGCAAGGTTTCGCCCGAAGGCTATTGGGTCTTAGTCAAGGGGATACTCCTTGGCTCCAGCTTCTTGGGAATGCGCAACGGGTGGCTGCAGTGCTGAAATGCCGCTTCATGTGGCCATATACAAAGATGATCTATGCAACTTGTCATTGTGCTGAATTTCTGGAAATGGAATGTCAATCGTTTTGTTTGCCGGGCTGTGCCAACGGGGGACGCCGGTTGAGCCTTCTAGTAGTAGGAGTGGATCATGTTGCCTGGGTATGCCATTCCAAGTGTGTACATGAAGCCAGAATTCTTTTTAGGAGTATTGCCAATGTGTTGGTTGCTGCTTCTAAGCAGCTTGGAGCAATATCAAACATTGCTGTTTTTGTGGTTTTGAACACGCAGCATCCAGAGTTTACAGTTGACCGGGGCCGGCATACTGTAAATGCGTCCACCTGCCTCTGTTGCTTGCCATAAATTGCCTATCTCGTCAAAGGCGAGCTTTTGCGTTGAGTTCCCAGCGATTGCCGCACCCAGTTTATGATATACGTACATAGGTATGCTCTCCCCCCAATGATCTACCTCTGTATCTCTGTAGCATAGTTTGTAGCCAGAAAGCTAGAATCCTATGTGTGGACTAATCCAAATCCATTTAACTTGCAATTGTACAACTTTGAGTAACAATCTGTTTGGAAAGGACTTCCCACTTAAATTATCATTGAATGTAGGCATTCAACATTCATTTACATTGCAATTGAATTTAAGTAAAGTCCTATTTGGAAGGGATTTCCTTCTTGATTAAAATAGACAGCCAAATGCTTCGGTTCTATCAAGCATCTAATTAAATGTGTACTTAAACTGTTGTTAAAAAGGAAAACCGATTTAACGTGCAATTGACATAGATATTAATTGTCACTTTGGCAGCGCCAAAAACCCTTATAGGAGTTAATTGAGGGCCTCCAACAAGCCTCGCGAAAGCACAAACGCAGGGCACAAAAGCCGGCGAAAGCTTGCGGCGAAAGTGGTTGAAGAAGAGCCTGCCGGGAAGGGTCGTGAAAGTGCATGTTTGCAGTTTCTGTGTTGCCCGCGAAAGCTCCGCGAAAGTGATCGTTACAAAACACATGCCCGCGAAAGTGAAACTTGTGGCCGCGAAAGCATCGCGAAAGGTTCCGCGAAAGCGGTTTGTTAGTAGAGGGTTTTATGTACCCTATTTTAGGCACCGCTCACTTGTTGTTTGTTTTGGAATGGGTGCTTCATTGAAATGTCTATTTGAAGATAGACGTTTAATCGACCGTGTTTTCTGATTATACTCTACATGTATGTTCTACGTGGCAAGAACTCCCCTTTACATGTTCATTCAAAATGGAGCTTCCAATTATATTATAATCTGATTAAAAAACTCTTTCATTCTGATTATCAAATCCAATTTGGTACAAAGGAGCCTTGACTGGAGTTTATAAGGAGCTTTTCAAGCAGCCTTATATGGAGCTGTATAACGTGTCTTAAAGGAGCTTTGCAAGCATTTGTGCAAGGCATACAAGGAGCCTTCTAAGCAGCCTCCTTAGCAGAGCTTTAGAAGTCGTTTCAGGAGCTCTTTACGGAGCTTAGGGAGCTTTTGAAATAGCTTCATAAGGAGCGTTCTGAGAAGTTTTAGCATTTTTACAAGGTCCCCCCAGTAGTGCCCTTTTACCCCTTTTTGGGGGAGGGCTCCCCTACTAAAATAGACTACAGAAAAACGGGTACCCTTATTCTAACCTCTCTACTGGAGGATCTAGTTTACAAGTGAGCTTCAATAGGAGCTGTTCAAGCAGCTTTACAAGGAATTGTACAAGGAGCCATATGACGAGCTTTATAAGGAGCTTCCTTTGCAGGAGCCTTTAAAAGAGTCTTATAACAGCTTGACTCGAGACTTGAAAGCCGGTGTATTCGAATTACAGTTATGTCTAATCAAAGTCATTAGTTGTTGTTTTGCGCTGTGGGAAACCCCATGCACTCTACAAACACCTGATAAATCGGAAAAACAAAAAAAAAACACTCAGAGGAGAAGATTTGGTTTTGCGAGAAGTTGTGCTTTTGGTTTTATCTCGTTTTGTTTGTAGTATTTTTTCCCTCAGTGTGTTTTGCTTTTTGGCCATATCCCTCCAAAACAAGAACAGTGGTGGTGTTGTCATGTGTTTGACCTTCTGACAGTGTTGTTTTGTGTTTGACCTTTCGGCACTCAATGATAGTTTTCTTATTTGTTCCGCAGAAAACCACCACTTCTCCTCTGAGTGTTGTTTGTTGTTTCAATGTTTGTCAGTGTGTGTTTTCCACATGTTTGGGTAGTATGGGTTTGTAGCCAAGTACAAAAACGCATGCTCACAAGAAACCGAACAACCTCAAAACACTTAGCATTTGTTCAAGGAGGTACAGACATATGTATTATATATATATATATGTGCACATGTCTATGTATCAGATTGGCGAACAGTTGGATTTATCACAGATTTGATGAGACCTGGGATTCGATTCAAAGACGCCGCTCCTTTCGGTGTGCTGGAATGTATGAGTGACCTCCACCACGTTTTAATGTTGATTCCTTCCCCTCACGTGTTGCACAAGTTGCTGTAGTCTCGTGTTCCTGGCAGACTCAGTCGAGCAGCAATCAGCTTGTGCTTCTGCATTTTTGCAAATCGCTGATTCAGAATTAAGATCATCGTCTGCTTTTTTTTTTCTACTTGCCCCATCTTGGATTGATCATTCCCTTTCCTTCCCCACATACACATGAAATTGTGTTCTTTTCCTATGATCCTAGCGTAAGCTCCGAGCTAAAATTGCTGCCAGAAGATGACTGAGTGGCCTGCTTTCAGACCATGCTGTTTTTGTGCAGACCCCCATGAAGCCCTTGGTTAGTGCTTACTAGAGCTCAGTGAGCCCAGCAAAATCTTCAAGCATGCCATTGTGGGTAAGCTTTTATTTGCTTAAGAATATGTCTTATTTTCCCTGTTGGTTTAATGGAATCTGCCACTACTGGAGATATTGTCTTTTTCCAGCAGAGTTAAGCAAGTGGACGTGAGGCAAAGCTTGGGCCACGTTTTTTGAGGGCTTTCAACCGAATCCATTTTCTGCGGCAGGCCTTCTCTCCGGCCGTGGCGGAGGACTGAAAAAAATTGGGTCACCTTGGAGACAGCGTGAAACGAGCGCTGACTTTTCGGGGAAGCCCCCGTATTGTTGTTTGATGTTTTCCCTTTGGCTTCCCTTTAAAACCACAAAAAGGCACCCTCAAAACAAGACACCCTGGGTGTGAATTAAAAGGTCCATCTAGCTTTGCGGTGGGTCCCCATCAAAATTCACAGCTTGAAACGAACATGTCTGGGTGCATCGGTTGCGGGCAGCGGCATTCTGTTTCTAGCGGGAATCTTGTTGGGTTACGAACCTGCAAGGGCACCCTTGTCGCTCCTGACATTTGTTTTTTTCGAAGTTATTTTTCTAAATACAGAGCATGGTCAGAGTCAATCACATGTCTTTGTGGGGCAACATTTGAGACTTGTTGAAATGTCGCCGCGCTGTCGCCTGCAAGTTGAAGCGCCAAGGGCAGGCAAGGGCAGGTTCGGACCTTGCTGCATTGGTCCAAATTGGTTGCCTTTGCTTTGGATCTCAGCTTTCCCAAGTTCTACGAAAGGTTGACGAGTTGCCGGATGTTCGGTAAGTTCTGGAGGCTGTTGAGGTTATTGAGGAGGCTACCTACGTCCAACACGTCATAGTTCAGAGGCCTCGAATCAGTCTTTCTACTCTAATTGGAGACCTGCACCATATGGTGTGTGCAATGAAATGCACAGCCACTCAGGTCGGGCTTTGCTAGCCAAAAAGGAAAGCGTGCACCACACCCTCCTCAATTGATTTTCTTCTGGGGGTGAAATCTAAAAGTGTCCAACCCATATTCGAAAGGCACAGGAATGCAAACTTCGGGCCACTTTTGGATCTCCTATTCACCCACCAGCGGTTTCTGGCGAGGAGCTTGCGAGAGCCCCGCAGCGAGCTGAGAGCTCTAGATCTGTTGGCCTTCCAAAAAGAAACCTGACAGAGAGGTTTCTCAGGGAGTGCTGTGAATTCAGCTTGGAGAATGATTCGGATTTACTGAATTCGCCCAGATATGTTGGACAGGGCTCCTTTTGATGCTAGAATTGAGTGATAGGATTCCAGTTGCTTAACAATATGTTTTGTTTCCCCCTGTTGGTTTAAAAGGGGATCTATCATTACTAGGAATATGGTCCCCCCCCCCCAAATGGAGGTAGGCCTGGCGCCTGCAACCGCTTCTTGTTCCGTGAGATGGATTCGCAACACGTGGCCTTCACGTGGCCAGCGCTCTTTGGGCTAACCTGCGGCCTGGGGCCCGGCGCAGTGTAGTTTTCACTTTGGAAACCAGTCAGATGGATTCATTCTACATATATATATATACATGGTTCCAACATCTCCAGATTCTGGATTCATCATCCCCAAAAGGCACTAAAGCCAGGGTCCAGATATACATATGGTCTATGTATATATATATATGTGTATGTGTATATATATATATATATATATGGGTTAATAGCCTTTGAGGTGAAGGGTGAAGAGAGTTGAACATCCAGTGTTGCCCGTGGTGGCCTGCCATAGAAATAACATGGCTACTTAGCCGTATCTCTGGAGGCAATCGATACTTTTGTAGCCTTCTTGGGACACCAAAAGGAAACCAACCATTTTGGGGGTCCTCCAGAACAAGACACCCCAACGTGTCTACCAAGCCAGCAAAGGTCCTGGGAGGAGTTCTTAAGGGGAGCGGGCAATCCGATTCCCCAAGCTGAGGTCGGCGCCGAATGGGAGCGCTTCGCCTGTCGAAGGCAAGGTGGTCTGGAGTAGCTGGTTGCATAGTCCAATGTTGATGCAAAGTTATACGTGCGGAATGCAGCGCAGTTCAAATGCAATTAACATGTTTGATGGGTTTGGCTTCCTTAGGCAAGGATGTGTGATGCGACTCACTGTGACTTTTAACGATACTGCCTCAGGCATTCCTGCGAGTACCGGGTTATACAAAATGTGTGGACTGAGGTCATGAGCAAGAGGAGATGGATCCCTGAATGGATGGTATGGTCTCGGGGTGTCAAACCGTGTTTTTTGCCATGCTCCTCTCAACTTGCGGAGGAGTGCGCTCAGGAGTGCTGGTGGTTCCATGGCATTCTGCAATATTATGCAAGCAATGATGGCACTTGCCAAGTTTGATTCCTTATGGGTCAGGCATTCATACCGTCAATAGCGGATCCTCTTTGCGCTTCCCGGATGTTGGTTGCAGCTCGCTGGCTGGGTCTGATCCTCGACGGGGCCATGGGACATGGAGATGTCTCTTTCGGCTCGAGCCCTCGAACGGGGCAATCCTTGGCCAGCTGCGATCGCCACATATGGAATCAGGAAAGGTGTTTAAGCTTTATTTGCTTAAGAATATGTGTTTACTTTCCCTTGCTGGTTTTGAAGGGAGTTTATCACTACAGGAAAAGTTTATGTTTTCTTCTTTTCCAGCAGGCTTAAGCAAATGGAAGTAAACCATTTTCTGGGTGACGAATAGCGCGTGTGTGAGTTTCCTACAAGGTAGCCAGAAAGATGGCTATGTTGGTTTTCCTGACGCATGTTCAACTCGCACTTCTCTTGAAATTGGACATGTGTGGCATTCCATGAAGCACCTTTCCGGTCACCTAGCGTTTGTTCAGGTTGCAGCCATGCCCTAGTTGGACTGACACTCAAAACTGAGCAATACTTTGGCCAATGCGGCTTTTTGAGTCCTTCGCAGGTGGGGTTGTCATCGAGGCAGGGTGGGTGGGTTGAAAGATGCGAACATTGGTATCAGGGAGCCCTTAGGTTGGTGGTTTGGATTGGTGGTTTGGACAATTGAACCCCTGGTTCTTGTAATAGCTGGCAAATGGAAACCCTTAACCTCCAAACCAGCAAACCAAGCCATCAACTAGAGGGAAACAAACATGTTCACTGTGCTGGCGTCAAAGTTACAGCTCCCCGGACTAACCATCAGATTGGACTCAGAATCCAAGCATGGGTTGTGGGATTCACTTGGCACACTTTTACAACTCCCCCTCACCCACGTTTGTTTCAAACAGAATCTGGAGAAAGGGGTTTGCGAGCCCCCGATTTGGGCCAAGGTGTGGATAGTTTTCAGTCAAAACTTGCTGGTCCTCAGGGAATGACCCTTGGTTTTGAAGGAATGAACCTGAAGGGGATTCCCTTAAAGGAATCCACGACGGTTTTTCTGGGGGTCATTCCATTTCTCATTCCCTGCCTATCGAACCAGCAAGAAAGGAAGTCAACCTCTTGGCCTCAGAAACACCCCTAGAGACCACCCAGTGGTGGCCTGGTGCGGTTTTCCCTTTGCGCGGTTTGGGGGAGTTGGGAAACGGGTGTGTCTGTTGTTGAGGGTACCACGTTTGCTTGTGTTTTAAAGGAACACCACAAGGAAAACCATGATATGTTTGGTGGGGGTCCTCTAAACACAGACTCCCAACTAGCTCATAATTTTTAGTGTTCCCACAAGGAAAGCAACAGGGCAAAGGTATTGATTTATTTGTTTTCCACCCTCTAATCACTTCCTATTCAACTCCCCCCCTTTTAATGAGCAATAGTTTTGGGAAAACACAGTTGTGAATAGGGTCCCAGGGAGTCCCGGGCGGGGGGTTTTCAATGACCTCCAAAATGCATCATTATTGCATGTTGCATTGGTCAGAAAGATGCAACATTAAATGCCAACTGAGGAGAGATTCACATGACATTTTTAGCCGCCCTTCTTTCCCTTTTCAGGGGTGAAACAGTTTCCTACTGCAAGGACGATGCAGACTTGCTGGTGCCTGAGATTTCGGACGCTTCCAGCAGACAACAAAATGATAGCATTGTCATGTGCCAGGGACAGAGAACGGTTTCCTTTACTTGAGGTTGTCGAGGATGGTAGTGAACCGATTTGCTCGAAAACCATGGTCCTATTAGGGAGTCAATTGTCTTGACCATGGCCGGTAGAAGGGTTGTTCAAAAAGGGAGGACCTGTTTGGGACCCTTGTTTGCACCCATGTAAACGTAATTAGACAAGGCCTCCCTTTAGGTCAAAATTGAATCGGACCCTGTCGTTGAACAACCCTCATATCGAGTCGTCCTTCCAGCCGCAAATGAATGCCAGAGTGATGATGTGTGTTTGAGTGCTTGCTTGTTTCTTGTGTTTGCGTGTGTGTGTGTGTGTGACAACTCGAATCCACTCCGCTTGCATTGGCTGGAGGTCGGACGGCCTGCTGGACAAAGAAATCTTCCCGCCAGGCAGATTTGAGAGATTCAACCTTTTTTTGGCTTCCGTCAACCAAGCCAGATTCGTATTGGATGGAACCCCATGGCACTGGATGCTTGGGAAGACCCTTGAATGTGAGAGCTTTCTGTGCAGCTGGATCATCCTCTACACCTGCCGCAACCGCAACCATTGCCACTGCAGTGGATGCTGCTTGGCTTCAGACATTGGGCTTGCTTGCTGGATCCATCCTTACGTAGCTTCAATTAGTGGAAGCTGCAAATCGTGTTTCGCCCTCTTGAGCTTATGCAAGTTTGTTAATAGCCAACGACCAACCTCTGGCGTTCGAGTGTTTGTGTGGTTTGCCTTCTACTGTTCAAACTATGTTTTGCTCACTGGACGAGTCAGGCCGAGGAACAAATTGTACAATGAGTGGCATGGCCTTTGCAAACAAACACTGGCGAAGCGGGATACGGCCATGCCCTGTGCAAATCTAGAACTCGGAGTGAAGATCATGCTTCGCAACTGTTTGCCTGTGTTGGTAGTGCTGCATGTTTCAGCACACGGGAGTCATCAGCGCGCATTTGAATGCACCAACATAAACCTGGGGGAATTGGGTGTGTTGGCGGTGTCGGTTGGTTTTGTTTTGCGCTGCAAAATCAGCTTTGAAATGTGACTCTGCACCACCCTGATGTTTTTAAGGATGGTGCAGACTGGCCGGCGACTGAGACTTTCCGGGGTGGATGGTATCCTTTGCTGATTGTTCGCTTCTAGTGGCCGCCAAGACAACAAGACAATCCTGCAATTAGACTGGCTTCGTCGGAGCATCTTGCTTGCTGCCACCATGTGTTGTATACCCTTTGCATGGTTGACCATGTTGGCCGTCTGAGGTTTGACGACCTGCAGAATGGCCAAGGAACTTCCCAGCCAGGCAAAGCGGAGTGTGTTTTCGCATTGCAGCTGCCTTGTCGGTGTTTTTGAGCTGAATTCTGAATTGCCAGGGTTTGTGTTATCACGAGCGTAAGCGCGGGCATGGTGCGTGTGTGGGTGAGGGACAGTGCTTGCTGCTATGCAGGTGCCGGATCATCCTCTGCGCCTGCCGCAACCACTGCAGCGACTGCGGTGAATGCTGCTTGGCGTCAGAGATTGGTTGGTCTGCTTATTAAATATGTTCTCTTGATTTGCTTGCAGCGCGTAGTTAGGCTGATGGGATGGGTGAGGAAGATTAGGGCTGATGAGGTTTCGCACGCGGTGCATCAGTGTTGCATGCGTGCATGCTGATTGAGCCAGCACGCGCGGGGCATGCCCTTTGCAAATGATCATGTCGGATGCTTGCGCACACATGGAGACATCAGCGCACATTCGAATGCCCCGACATAATCCTGGCGGTGCCACGTATGTTGGCGCTGTCGGTTGTTTTGTTTTGCACCGCTAAAGCAGCTTTTAAATGTGACTCTGCACCACCCTGATGTTTGCAAGGACGGAGCAGACTGGCCGGCGACTGAGACTTTCCCGGGGTGGATGATATCCCGTGCTGATTTGCTGCCAAGACAACAAGACAATCCTGCAATTAGACAGGCTTCGTCGGAGTATCTTGCACGCTGCCACCATGTGTTGTATACCCTTTGCATGGTTGACCATGTTGGCCGTCTGAGGTTTGACGACCTGCAGAATGGCCAAGGAACTTCCCAGCCAGGCAAAGCGGAGTGTGTTTTCGCATTGCAGCTGCCTTGTCGGTGTTTTTGAGCTGAATTCTGAATTGCCAGGGTTTGTGTTATCACGAGCGTAAGCGCGGGCATGGTGCGTGTGTGGGTGAGGGACAGTGCTTGCTGCTATGCAGGTGCCGGATCATCCTCTGCGCCTGCCGCAACCACTGCAGCGACTGCGGTGAATGCTGCTTGGCTTCAGAGATTTGTTGGTCTGCTTATTAAATCTGTTCTCTTGATTTGCTTGCAGTGCGTAGTTAGGCTGATGGGCAGGTTGCATCGTTTGAATTGGTTTGAAATGGGCTCCGTTGTCTTTGCTTTTCCCTTCTTGAAGAGCAGTATCTTAGTTTGAGAATGCACATGGCAAGTTTGTGGATGGCCAAAGAGCCAATCACATGTGCTCGATTGCGTACCTTTTGTGTTCCTTTGAATGGTCAAACTAGATTGTTGCCGATGAGATGGCCAGGCTGGCAAGCAAGCAGTCAATGAAACTGGCTTGGCAAACAAAGCTGGAGATTGGGGTTGTGCAGTTGAAGGATCCTTCTGCATGCATATCACAGAGAGGCTACGCGGACATGTCTTGCCTTTGCAAATCTAGGGCTTGTATTGATGAACACATGCTTTGCACTTGTCGGCCTGCCGGTACTGTTAGATGTTTGAGCACACATGAACACATCAGCGCACGTTTGAATGCACCAACATAAACCTAGGGGTGCTGGGTGGTGTCGGTTGCTTTCGTTTTGCTCCACTCAAGCAGCTTTTTGAATGTGACTCTGCACCACCCTGACGTTTTCAAGGATGGTGCAGACTGGCCGGCGACTGAGAATCCCGTGCGTTTATGTCGCTTCCAGTGGCTGCCAAGACAACAAGATAAGCCTGCAAGCAGACTGGCGTAGTCGGAGCATGTTGCTTGCTGGTCACAATGTGTCAGTTGCGCTCTGCATGATTGGCCATGTTGGCCGTTTGAGGTTTGACGACCTGCAGAATGGCCAAGGAACTTCCCAGCCAGGCATTGCTGAGCGTGTTTCGCATTGTAGTTGCCTTGCCAGCGCTTTTAGGCCGAGACTGTTTGTGTTGCCATGGGTCTGTCTGATCATGTTGTGCAAGCATATGCGCATGTGACATGTATGCGTGTGTGGGTGAGGGCGAGTGCGTGCTGTGTAGCAGGCGCTGGATCATCCTCTGGACCTGCCGCGACCACTGAAGCGACTGCGGTGGATGCTGCTTGGCTGCAGAGATCGGCGGGTCTGCTTGTTGGATGCGTTTAGTTCAGTTGTTGACTATTGATGCCAGCCTGATATTTTTTTGGGTTTCCGCTTTGAGAGCAGTATCTCAGTTTGAAACTTCTCATGGCAAGTGTAGGATGTCCAAAGAGCCAATCAGATGTGCTCGATCGCATACCTGTGGTCTTCCCTCAAATGTTAAAACTAGAATTTGCCGACAACATAGCCAGGTTTCCTGTGCAAATCTGGGACTCATAATGATGAAATCATGCTTTGCACTTGTCAGCCTGTTGGTACCGCTGGGATGTCTGAGCACAAATAGAAACATCAGCGCGCATATGAATGCACCAACATACTGTAACCCTGGGGGAGTTGGATGTGTTGGCGGTGTTAGTGTCGTTTATTTGTTGTTTTGCGCCACTAAAGCAGCTTTTGAATGTGACTGCACCACCCTGATGTTGGTAAGGATGGTGCAGACTGGCCGGCGACTGAGACTTTCCGGGGTGGATGGTGTCCTGTGCTGATTACTCGCTTCTAGTGGCCGCCAAGACCACATAATAAACCTGCACGTGGACTGACGTCGTCGGAGCATCTTGATTGAAGGTTACCATGTGTCATGCACGATCTGCATGGTTGACCATATTGGCCGTCTGAGGTTTGACGACCTTCAGAATGGCCAAGGAACTTCCCAGCCAGGCAAAGCGGAGTGTGTTCTCGCATGGCAGTTGCCTGGTCGGCGCCTCATGTTCGAGAGACTGCTTGTGTTGCACTGGGTGTGTGCTATCTCTTATGCACAAGCGCATGCATGTCCGTGAGTATTTGTGAGTGAGCGCTGTGTTGCAGGTGTTGGAGCAACTCCTGCCCCTGCCGCAACTGCAGCGACTGCCGCGGACGCTACTTGACTGTCCTTTTCTTTCTTGTTTCGTGATCGTGAGCACTGCACAAATCGTGTTCAGCCCAGCCCTACGTTGCAAGCCTGCCAAGTCATTATCATAACACTTGCCGCGACTTGCGGTTCCAGTGAAGCCTCTTCCCATTTTGAGCGACCCAACCACAAGGTGTAAGCAACGCAAAGGTTTTCCAGGCACCTGGCTGGCAGGGTTCCGTTGCAGAATTGCTCCGAAGCCACACGTTTCCACCAGTGTCCAATTCATCCACAGCAGATGTTTGAATGTTTGGTGATGTTTTGGGTTTTCCTGAAAACCCAACGGCTCCCAAAACGCGTGTTATTTCCTGTAAGTTTCCTCCCCAAGCTGTGTCGGGTAGTCTGGCTGCTGGCACCCAAGGGTCGATTTGGTGTTTGCGTCCTTTTGCTCCACTCCACGTAGCTTAGCACGAAATAACGCCAACCATAATTGGGTGCCTTCGCAGAGTTGTTAATTCGTTGCATGGTTCTGGGTAGACAGTGTTTGTGCCAGGTTTGAATGTGACTGACTCACGTGTTTCTTCTTTAATATCTCTTCACTCTTTCTTGACTGTTCCTTTGGTATCTCTTGTCCCTTCTCCGCGGTTGACGAGGTGCCAGAAAAGCGCTCGCTTGCCACGTCCTCCCCCTCCCCCCGCCCCCGATCAGCTTGTTTTACACTACCTTTTACCCCCTTGAGCTGCGCACACAAAATGTGCGTGCCACTTGTTACTGTAGTTTTCGAAAATGCCCAAGCTTCTGGATCCATCTAGCAAGGAGGTTTATCTGGAATTCCTATTATTGGTTTCCCAAACGGAAATGGGCAAGGAAATGGGCCATGTTTTACTGTTGTCCAGATCGAATATTTGGCAACAAGGTTGGATGCATCTAGTAGCCCAGCTTGTGATCGTCAAGTGCAGGGGTGTGCCGAATGGAAGACCTCCTGCGCCATTTTTTTCCGCAGATCCCTTCTTTCCCTTCCCTTTGGGCTTTCTTTTGGACAACCTCGGAACAGCTACCCTCCGACAAGACGGCCTTGCTTCCCTTACTTAGGACTTTGATGAGTTGTGGGACTCCATGATGGTCGAGGCACGGAGTAGCACAGGATGGTTCAATTCAGGCAGACCCCTTGCTGTTTTGTTCCGACAGAGGTCCAAAGTCTCCGTATGCGTGTGTGTGTGTGTGTGTGTGCACGCGTGCGTGCGTGCGTGCGTGTGTGCTTGGGACTTCTTTCAGCTTGTTTTAAACGGAAACCAAAAGGGAAATCTACCAGTTTTTCCTATTTGACACATTTCCCTTTACAAGTAATGTCCAGCAGAGCTGGGGGGCGGAAGGGCCAACAACTTTTGTTTGGAACGCTTTGTGCCTTTCTTTTTTATTGTTTCCTTTCCTCTTTATTTTTCTTTGTCTTTCTCGTTCTCTCTCTTTATGGATGAACTCTTTATTTGTTCTCTTTCTCTTTCTATTTCTCTTTCCTTTCTCAAATAGGGAAGCGAAGCAACAAACAAGCACGAGTTGGTTTACTTCCACCCACCGAAAGCCCACAGAAGGTTCACCTTTTGATAGTTACGCAAGCTGAAGCCGCAAACGCCACAAGTTGTTGAAGGTCGACCCGTCGAATGTCCGCAGAGGGTTCGCCATTGGATACCCCGAAAGTCCCGCAGAGGGTTCACTGGTTGATGATTGCACAAGCTTAAATACCCAAAGCACAAAGGTTTGTACTGTTGACCCCCCCGAAAGTCTGCAGAAGGGTGGCGCGAGCGAAGTGAGCGCCGAAAAAGAACATAGCAACATTTCGAGGGTCCACCCGCCCAAAGCGCGCAGAGGGTTCACCGATCAAGGGCTGCGAAGCATTGCGCGCGTCCGTGCCAATGGTCCCGTCTCCGAGTTCGCTCCGCACTGGCTCCGGGACCGCTCCGAGCTCGTTCCGAGCCCGCCTCCATTAGACGTCGCGGCGGCGGTGGTTTGCACACACGCGGAAGAGTCGAATTCACGCACAAGGCCAATATGTTCGCCCTCCTTCGCGCAATGTCCTGTTTTGTGTTTTCCCGGCTTTCTCACACGATGTCTTGCTTGTTCATATCTTGTTCACGCGTAGAGCGCGTAGAGCGTGCATTTCTGAGCGATAGCAAACCTTCTAGAATGAGTTCCAGTACTACGGAAGTTCTGAAATTATTGTTAAGACTCCTTTGACTAGTATATAACTTCATGTTCCGTTAGTGGATGATGAAGGTGACGTTGAATGGGGAATTTAGCGAGGCGTGTTTGTGTTCTTTGCTTTCATTCTTCATGCCCTTGCATTTCCAAGGTAGCAAGGCAAGCGGAGTTTTGGTTGAAGCGAGGGATCTACATCAGCAGGAGAGCCACAATCGGGCGTTTCTGCGGTCCACTAACGTATCCGGAGGTGTTGGACATTGACCATACCCCGTGTTGGAAGCCTTTTGCTGAAGCAACTGACCTACTCCTTCGTGAATGCCGATTCTTTTGGACCGAACAACGGGAATGACGACCTCAGATGAGCCACAATCAAACCCGATGAAGGTTAGTAAGGGACAACCCCAGCCAGAAATAGGTGCTGCCGCCTTTGTCGTTCTTCATATTGGTTTGGTGTGATTTGGGTAGACAATTTTGATACCAGGTTTTGATTGTGACTCTGGTTTACTGCCCGGTCATCCAGCTTGCTCCCAGGGTACAGCACCGGACTAGGTCCGTTTCGCGCGGCGCGCAGGCGCCCGCGGATGGCAAGAAGGGCTGAACAGCAGCCGCATGCCAAAAAGCCTAGCGCGGCGGAGCGGTGCGTGGATTGGCTTATGGCAATTGTGCCAATGAGAACCCAGCCACCTAAGTTGCTTCTTAAGGTGTGCCCGTTTACAAGCTATCCGGCACTTTCGAGGGTAAAAAACCCCAACATAATCCGATGATGCATCAGGGACGAGATGGGACGAATCATCAGATTGTCGGATGGCATGCTGGTATATTTGTTGGGTGCTCCTGTTTTGATGGTTTTTAAGAGTCGCCAAAGGGAAAGCCACTATATTGACCGAGATATATACAAACTTGCGATTCGCTTTCGACATGTTCTTCTGTGCCAAGTTACAGTCTGAGTTGATGCCGCAGTGGTGAGTGCGGTGGTCGTGACAGGCTTCTGCTGCCTTGGCACTTTCATCCTTTGCGACGAGTTCGACTGAGAGGGATGTTTCTTGCATAATATTCTGTAGATAGTGCGTATTCCCCTGCAGATTTGGGGAGTTTGCTTTTTGGGGAAGGATCTTTCTATCGGTTTCAGTGCCAATTTGCAGGAGAGTCATGGAAGAGGCATCAATCTAGGACGCATCATTTGTGTCCATACGCTGACTTGCGCAATTCGATGTGCAATGCGGAGAACGCCAACGCTCGCGCAATTGGAGGTTCTGTCCAGGAAGCGGAAGCCGAGTCGCTCGGCACACGCGTGGAGATCGCCGCAACCATCCGCCAGCGGATTTGAGGGCAAGAGGGCGGAGACCAACGGCGCCATCTTTGGCACGCAGCAAAGGTGCTACAAAGTCGGGATTCTGCCATTCACCAAGCTCGAGGAGTGAAGACAACCTCGCCTGTTGTATTGTCGCACAGAGGCCGCGCAGGACATTTGTGTGAGTTTGACTAGGTTCGATGTCATACCACGGCCAAGTAAGAAAAGATGCTTGCATGGTGTTTTTCTGCTTGCACCGGGCATGCCAAGGATCCCGTTGTGGGATAAATATGCTGTTGGCAGATGTTCGCCCTTGGCAGCAATCATTGGAGGAGCCGCTTCGAGCCTTGGTCGCTGGACATGAATCCACATGATGTTTTCTGAAGGGTCCATGCTCCGAAGTCCGTGCGCCGGAGCCCAGCCGATTTTGCTCAAGTACAGCCCTCTCTCTCGGCTCTTTCAGCTCAAGGCGGGCAAGCCACAGCCCGTCGGATTCACGGGCCAGGTGCGGTTGAAACCTTGAGTGTTTGTTTTTTGGGAACAACCCCCAAAATAATGTGTTTTTGTGGAGACCCTTGAAATTTCCCTTTAAAACCACCAAGGAAAGGCACCAACTCCAAGACAAGAACAACGAGCCGCCCCATGAATTTGGCTTTCGGAGCGGATTCGAAAGGGAAACCGCCCCGCTTCACCAAACCATCAATCCAACAACCAGCTAGGAGCGACTCACCTGAACTTTTGCAGACTTTGCGTATACCTGAACCCTGACGCTTCCATTTGTTTGACTACCCCAAGATAGACTTAAACCCAGGGGTTCTCTCTCTTTTTGGGGCGACTCAACTGCGCTGGGTTGAAGTCTAGTCAAAAAGCGGAACCAAACGCGTGTCCTTGGTCTGTGCGCACGGCTCGGTCAATTTGCAAACGAAGAGCACACTTCGCGCTTCGGTGGAGGCAAAGCTTTCTGATTTCTTGGGGATGCCAAAGCTCCAAGGCTCCCTTAAGACTGAGTTCAATGTGGCCTAAGGCTGCTAGTCTGAGGGAGGTTAGCAGCGGCTGTTTCGTGCATACGAATCAGAAAGCCTGAGGCTTGAACGTGGTTTATTTGACCTCTGGCGGAGACAAGGTCTTTATTTTTGTTGTTGTGAATTTGCCGCACAGGCCCTTTTCAAAGAGGGTGGTAATCTTCTTTCACTCACTGCCTAAGTGGGTTCGCCAGACAAATCTGAAGCGTTCGCTTCTGGTACATTGATCTTGCGAAAATGCATGTCCAGAAACGTGGGTGGTCATGAGCCTCCACCGTTTTCACGGTGTAACAGTTTTGCGATGGTCAATCCCCTTGAATCTAGCCATACTCTCAGGGGAACATGAATGGACTGTCCTTTGCGTGGGTTGCATGATGCAAGGTCGAGTCTACATGAAGTTGGAGCATGATTTGCCATCTTGCAATGGAGATGTGATGAGAACAGCCTCCGATGCTGCACTTGTCCGAACCAGGTGTCTCCAGGAAGCATGGACACCTGCGGTAAGCGATCCTGGTCCTGATGTTTTACTGCATATTTTAACGCGGATTCTTGAGGACAAGCCATCTTGCTTATTAGAAATACGCTGTCGCCCCGTGCGGCAGTGTTTTTTGTCGGTCAAACCTTGTATTTGGCAGCGTTTCCCAGTATGACCATTTGCGCTTTTGCGTGTACGACCCGTATGGAACCGAATTTTCAAGATGTTGTTGAATAAAAAGCTTAAACAAAGGGCGAATGACTGACCAAACAACCTCCCATCGCCAGACTTTAACAGCTTCTGTTCGTGTTCTCGCCGTGTTTAGTTTTCCGCATTTTCCCTTTAAGGAGCCCTGGGGATGACTGAAATTCTTGATCGAGGAGCTAGAGGGCTGAGTTGCCCCCAACTCATTGGTGAGCTCACTTGTTGCTCGGGGGGGTCCATGGTCCGCATAGGGATATACAACCTGACCTCGAGAACCCATCAGGTAGGTCCTTGGCCCATGGAACGGGAGGCCAAACACTAGTAGCTGTGATACCACTGGAAGACCTTCTTCTAGCTGAATCATATACGTACAGGGGAGGCTCCCTTCTGAAGTGGGTGTGTCTTAAAGTACGTGAACCCCAAACACGTTGGCTTTCCTTTTGGTTTCCTTTGCAACCACCAAGGGTACCAGTTCCAAAAACGACGAGCTGCCTAAGCCCGCATTGCCACGCTGGATATCACTCCACGAGTCTAGGCGATTGCTTCCAGGCCATGCTCCGCGCTGTGTCTGCTCTGCTGCTGCCCGCTGCCTCTCTGGCGGACAAGTGGGCCGTCATCGCGGCCGGGTCCGCAGGCACAACGGGGGGGGGGGGGGGCGGGACGCGGCCGGGCGCAAGATCTGCCATTCTTGTTCAACTTGATTTGTCAGACAATCTACAAGTCAACACGACTTGATCTCAAGTCAAACAGTTAGACCGCAATGCAGATGCGAAGCCTTCGAGCGGTGATGAAGCTTGCTTTGCAAGCAGCGATACAGCTTGCCATTCTTGATGGGCGAAGACAGCATGAACATGCGAAGTGCATACTGCAAATCGGTCTGTCCCCTGGATTAGCAAACAAGCAGTACCAGGCCTTCTGCATGTTTCCACCCCAGGCAGAGATGCGTGAGCTCTGCTCTAAAATCAGCAGGACCGCAACAGCATCAGCAGCGACAGCAGCAACAGCACCATTCCGGCAAGAGCATATCATTTGACTTCTGTCGCCGCAGCGTCTCCCGTACCGTGCCGACAGGCTTCTACAACTATCGTCACCAGGCAGACGCCTGCCATGCCTATCAGATCATGCTGAAGAGCGGAGTGCCGGCAGAGAACATCATCCTCATGATGCAGGAACCCGCGGGTGATTGCTTTGTTGTCAAAAGGAGTGGTCTACCCTCAGCTGGAGGTCTTGGGCATGGGTGGGCAATGATGCAGGAACAGCTTGAGGTTCCCTTCAAACCACCGTTTAGAGTCTAGAGGGGTGATGTTCAGGCTTTTATTGGACTGAGGTTTGTTGTCGCATTTTTGTTTAAAGAAACATTTTGGTTTTTCTTGGGGGGGGTGGGAGGGTCGACACAAGCCCCCATGCATGGTCAAGAATCAAACAACTGGATATGGGCACCAATGTATGGTTGTGACGGTTCCTTGCCTCAAATTACCCGGGTTTTGATCGTGGGCCACTCCAGGTTCCGTGTCAGAATGTCCAGTCCATGCTCAATGTGCAGTTTAGGAGATGTGGACATGCCGCATAACTTCCAGTTGCTCAATTTTTCAGAATATTGTTTTATTTGACGCTGTTGGTTTTGACGGGAATCTATCACTACTGGACGAATCTTCAATTTTTCCAGGGGTCTTAACCAAATGGAATATAATTTTAACCAGACAATTGGCACTTGAGGTGCGTGGCTGAAAGTGCGTCGTTGAAATATTCAGACGCTCAATTTGGGGCTCGGGGACGACATGCCACGAAGTTTCCACCAGACAAACATGCACTTGGTGGGTTGTCAAACTATTCAGGATCGGGACATGGGGTTAGGGACATTCCACAAAAATTGAATCACAAACTCGCAATCAATCCTGTAAATTATTTACATTGGTTTGGGTAGCACTTTTCTGTTTCTTTATGATGGTTGAGGGATATCACCATTGCAATATGTTCGGAGAGGGACAATCACATGTAGCCACCGCCAGGTGAGAAACACAAATATGTTTCATTGCGGGGCCATCCCGTTACCCAGGGACGCGGTTCTCAGGAGCAGCTTGGTCCTGTCGCTAATTTTTGAACACAGATGATGAAACACATGGGTGTGTGTGTGTTTTTTAGGTACCCTTTCTGGGGTTGGTTTAAAGGGAATCCCACCATTTTGTTTTGGGGGGGTCCCCTAAAAAGGGACATCGCCATATTCCGTTTTTGAGGAGGTTTCTGAAGGAAGCTCGGAGGGAAGTCACCCATTTGCTGGCGTTGGTAGTTCTTTTTTTCAAACATGTTTGAACAACAACTTTTTAAACTACCCCCCTTGGTTGGGTTTGTTTAAGCAAATGTTGCCCAACTCCTCAGTTCCAAAGTGAATCGACCTTTTGACCTGTTGGTTTCCGCTTGGTCCGTAGTCATGGCCCAAAAGGTGATCACCTTGTATTTTATTTCCCTTCCCATAGGGCAACTGAGACTCTGGTTCCCCCGCATTCTCAGCGATTCAGGATGACGTCGCCAAGAGCTCTGAGAACCCATTTCCCGGCCAGCTGTTCAACAAGCCAGGGGAGGATTCTCCTGATGCGCCCCGGCATTGAGTCTTTCCGTGATACCCAACGGTACCTGTTGTGAGATTGTTTGAACAGAGAACCAACAAAAGACCAACAGTTTTGTGGAGTTCCCGCATTTGGAGACAAAGCTGTGGCTATGATATGCAAGGGCACTGAGGAGTCAAAGTTTGCTGCGTGCTTGGGCAATGCTTGAATACTGCCTTTGGCACAGATGTTGCTCCTGGGGATGGCTGCATTGTGATTGTGTGCCAATCAGGCTTTGGCATGATCCTTTTTTGCGCTGTTGCGAACTGCCAAGCTGTCCGTTCGCAAGAAAATGCGGTTGCAACCAGAGCCGCGATTTGTCACCTGCGCGAATCATTCATCCGCGCAAATTCTAACGAGCTCTTGGCGTGAAACGAGCTCACCCACGATGGTCCTGACTTGAGTATTCCATATTCATTGATTTTTGACCTCAGGATGGTTTCCCTTATGTACCAGGAAAGTCAACGGTCCCGAATTACTTCCTTGATGCAACATTCGATCCAAGGTGTCATTCCGCCACTTAACTTGGACCCCCAAAATGACATTTGCCTTTCAGCCCGAAACTGGGTACCGAGCCTCTAACACACACACAAGCACAAGCACAAGCACAGGCAGAAGCACAAACAAACAAACAAGCAAGCACACACACACAAGCACACAAACACACAAACATGCACGAACACACAAACGCACAAATAAACACGCAAACACGCAAACACACTAAGACAGCAGACACCACACAAACACACTACACACACACACCACACACCACACGCCGCCCACCACGCACCACACGCCGCACATCGCACACCACACCCCGCACACCACACACCGCACACCACACACCTCACCACACACACACACACCACACACCACACACCACACACCACACACCACACACCACACACCACACACCACACACCACACACCACACACCACACACCACACACCACACACCACACATCACACATCACACATCACACATCACACATCACACATCACACATCACATCACACATCATACATCACACATCACACATCACACATCACACACACACACACACATCGCACACATCACACACCGCACGCCACACCCACCACACAGACACAACACACACACATGCATACACACCTGGCATGGACATGGTTAGTCCTGTCGCTTTCAGCAGAAGGACGAGTGCATCAAAAAGGGGGGAGCGATTCGTTGTTCATGCGAGCACTCAGAGGAAATCCCCCAAACCAAATCATTTGTTCACTACAAGGGGAGCCACCCCTGAGAGGAATCCACAGTTTCTATTCGCCACCAGGCCACATGTTTTCGCTGGAATCGTGTACTGCCGGTTTTGGTCTTCGACCGATTTCACCTATGAAGGGTCCTTTGTGGATGGGCGAAATTCATGCCGGGCACCAATTGGGATGTATGATGGGATAAACCACCTGCCAACTGTTGCAAAGCGTATTTTGTCTACTCCAGTAGGACAGCCGTAGTGCAGGTGAATTCCGACAGTTCTCAGATGCGATTTATTGTTGGTGCTGGCCTTTTGTTGGACAATCAATCTCTGAGACGAAGTGAGGTCTACAAGGGCTGCAAGGTGGACTACTCCGGCACCTGTGGCTGCACTGCTTGCTCCGTCGCTGTGGTCAAAAGGCCAGTGACTCATTGCAAGTGATGAATATCATGATGCTAAGTGCCAACATGAACATATTCTCTTTGGGAGCCCTATGTTTTAACAACCCTCTCGGCCTCCACACGCAGACATGACTTATCCAGTCTCTGAGTTTGGGCCTCTCCCAGATTGGAGCCGTGCTTGTTCTGCACCACCGAGGACGTGCTTCCTTTCCCCGATTGGGTACCGAGTTTCCAGAAATAAACACCAATTGCCCGACCGTACAAGTTGACTCAATCATTTGTTGATTTGGCCGAACGTAACTTTAAGAAACATGATGTTTGCCCCATGTTTATATTGCCATTGCGCCGTTCTGTTTTCCTTGCATCGTTTCCGGAGCTGACTGGGATTGATGTGTCGTAGATAGATATCACAATAGGTCCATTTGGTAGGGAAGCATGTCCAAGTTTCTCACCTGGACAATGACCAGTTGCCCGCTTGAAAGCCCTGCTTGATGGAGGGTGGGACCCAAATTGTTGTTTTTTTGGCACGCAACCAGCACATCTTGGAAGTTCAACAGAAAGATATGTTTGTGCAAACTTGATGCATGTGCGCCCTAATCATATTCGGCTCACCTGGTAAGGCAAGCTCGCCCATTTCAGGTCCCTTGCCTAAGGGTTTCTTCAGGTTGACCAATTGTGCTGAGTGCAGATTAATGTTGACCCCATATTAACAACCCCAGTTTATTTAATAGGGGGTTGTCCCCGGGTTTAGTGGTGAATCATCACTTTTGGAGGGGGCCCTATTCATAAACTGGGGTTTGATTAATATGGGGTCGACATTATGTGAAACCTGGTCGGTTCAGGCGCTCTTTTCCGATGACTTGCGTGTTAAGTAAGATACATTGCCGTGCTTGTGGCCGGCATCTCGATGGCATCTTCGCAGTGCAATAGTATCTATGCAACTTGGTTTGGTTTGTTTCTGTCAAGGCCACAAGGCGTTAGTTGTCTAGCGCCTGAATGTGATATCAGTCCTACCCTATTTCTTCTGAAAAGCACAGGTTGCATGAGATAGGAACTTGGTGTGTTGAATTGACTTTGTGTGGTTGGTCCAGCAAATTGGCAGTTGAAACCTGGAAGTCAATTGCCCCTGGAAACAACATTTTCTAGGGATGGGAATCCCACTCTATGGCAGAAAGTCGCCACTGCTCAAATCCATGTGGGCATTCCGGGGGAATGTCAAAAAGGATGATTCCTTGTGCCTTTTAAAGCAGGACCCCTAGCTCTGACAACCCCAATCGACCAAGGAGAGATTGTTACCGCGGAGCTTTTCATGAACGTGCTTACGGGCAACGCGGAGAAAGCCAAGGGCAAGGCAGCGACACAAGAACTGCTTTCATGGGTTGTCTCACAATGAGCACCGTCCTCAATGATTGGCCAAGTTTGTAGGTGGCTGTACCATAGTGTATTAGGAATTATAGAGTGGCCTTTAAACAGTTTCGCTTTGGTGTTCCTTGGAACCAAAACCAAGAAGGATACCGTCAAACACCGACACCCATTTGTTTGTGAAAAGCACACGATTGTGCACTATCTTACATACCGCGGTCCAATGTGAGAGAATGATTGCGGCGGTACTTCTCTGGGTAAAGCATTCAAGCCATCAGATGGTATCTACAATGTGGTTTCTATGGTTTAACAGTGATCGGTTCCTGCAATATGTATGACGTGTGGGATGTTGGGCATGTTTATCGGTCGACAGCAGTCCGGACAGAGCAGAAGTTAGTTTCTGCGATGCAGAGTTTCTGGCGAGTGCCCGGCGTTCACATTCCTTTGCCTGCTTTAAGCTTGCGGACCTGAACGCTTCGCTGTTCTTCGGCTGTGTGTTCAGCCTATTTCAGGGGAACCCTTAGTTGGCTTGCGGATTGAACCCCGGTTCCTTTGAAGCCAAATGGGGTAATTGCCCCCTAAGGTCCAAACGACGGGTAAGGTGAGCATAGGAACCATCTTGGGAGCGGGTTTGAGAAGACGGAACCAACACGAAAGCAATCTGATCGCCCGGTCAGGTCTTGAAGAGCACGGAGAAAGACACGGTCTTTGTGAACTTTGTGGACCATGGAGGCGGGGAAATAGGCACTGCTGGTAAGCCTCGAATTTTTATGTGTTTGGTTCTTTCTGTTTTTTGGGGGGCATGTAATTTGAAGGGCGTCCTAGTTGTTTTGTTTCTTCTTCTGCTTTTGGTGGCTTCGAACATGAAGCCTGCTGGTTTCACGTGAGTGTCACGAGGGTGTTGTGGTTGTTCTAGGTTGGAATTTTCCGGAACCCATGCCATGTCCATAGCCTTTGGCACTGCCAGGTCCTTCGTGGCCCTTGGTGTTCTCCGTTTGTTTAGTCTACTTTGAAGGCTTAGAGGCTGAAAGAAAACACGTCAGTGAGTGGGAACATTGCGACGGCACTGTGGGTGATGCTGGAGCTGGGGGGGGAGTGCCGTTCTCCCTGTGAGGCCGGTCTCAGACGGCCTTTGGCAAACATTCGTAATTCCTTGCCGGCAGTGGAGGTTGGCTTGCATGCAGACATGCTTGCGAAGAGCCGGGAAACCATTCCAGCGTGCAGATTGCTGCAAGCATTTCCTGGCCCTTTTGCTTGTTTCGTTTGTTTGCCTTAATTGCACGCTCATGCTTCAGGGTTCCATTTTTGACTACCCCAAGATAGACGTAAACCCAGGGGTTCTTCTTTTGCAGGGAATGAGCCACCCTCAGTTTGAAGTCTACGCTGGAGTACTCAAAAGTTGAACTCTGCCAAGCCCGCGTCAGCCACACTGCTTTGCTGTGAGTTCACGGAACATCCAAAGGTGTGGATGGACGAAATCCATTTCGCACCGTTCAGAAACCGAAACGAAATGCCTTCGCTTCCCCTGGGAAGAAACCAACAAACATTCCGATTTCAGCCATGGTTTCATTTCGTGGTGCGAAGGGATTCTGCAACCATCCACAGCTTTGATTTGGTCTCACCGTGCAATGATTGGACATGTGAGCCCTTGGATGGTTTCAAAGACTTGGCTGCTTGGATGTTGAACCTCTCACTTGTGGGTAAAATGTGTATCTTCGCATTGTAGGAAGCAGCAACAAGATGCAACGCCTGGACCATTTGCGTGTGCTTTGGGGGGCAGTTGCCACTAAGTCTTGGGCATTCGCTGCGAGGCCCCGGCATTGTGGCCTTCCCCAATGGCCCTGTGCTGCACGTCAAGGCCTGCAATTTGAGCTCGCACCAAAAAGGAAAAACATGGCGTGTCAAGTTTTTTGTTGTGGATGGGACCTCAGCTGTAATTCATCATGTTACCCCCATGTAACCGTGTAGGTATGGGGGAACCCACGAGAATGGCGTTTTTCGGCTAGGGCCTGTTCGCCTCAAGTATTTGATTTGACTTTGGGTGAGGGAACAACCAGGTAGTAAGCAAGGGTGATGCAACTTTAAGGCTGTTCAAAGATTGAGGGTCTCGTTTGCGAGCAGGTAGAATTATTTGCCGTCGGGTCAATCATTTTCTCAGAGGCATTTATTTTCCTTGTTAACGAAACATTGTGTTGTGATTCCAAAAGAAACAGCTCACTTCTATGGTTGTTTGCTGTTTGAGAAGCTCAAGGCATCGCATTTTCACAGGGAACTGGTTCCTCTCGAGTCGCGCGGTTACTGTGGATGTACGAAATCCTGCAGATGGTAGGTTTACTTCATGAGGCTTCATCCATCCCAACTGGTGCCGAGCTTTGGATTTTGGCAATCCGACAATGGGATGGTTGCAGACTCTTGAATGGGGACCTCAGACAACCAACTGTTCCTGCAAAACCATTCTCGGTGTATGTAATCCTGGCCGGGGCACAAATGGACATACGCCACATGGGCACCACATGGATTTGTCTCCTAAAAGAGGTTGGTGTCCATTTGTTTCCCCCGTAAACCAACCCGAAAAGGAGGCGCCAAGACATCCCCCTCCTTTGAATGGTGGTTTTCAACAATTTGGGGTATAGCCAATTTTTCACCGCTGAATTCGAGTGCTGTCGATGTGGGGTATGCAAGTAGGACCGTGGACGTGCTGCTACGTTGCTGCAGTTGTGATTGGAGACGGTGTTTCAGAAGCTGTCACTCAACACTTCAAGTATTGAGGAGCTGACAGACGTATGTTGGGCACTGCTGGGCATGTCAAATGTGTTTTCCAAATTCATCAGATGGTTGCTCAGAGCAGCCAGGTAAAAATATCCAGATTCGAAATATCATGCCATATGCGCAATATGTGAATCGAAGACGGGGGTTGGAGTTACCATGTTGTAGGCCTTTTTTTTGTTGACCACGATGTGCGTGTTTCTGCAACCATAAGTCCTGAGCCCAACCGGTTAGACAAAGCATGTTTACCGCTTTCAGATTTTTCACCGGACATGGTTTGATCAAACAATCCCGAATCCGCGATCAGAGGATCTCTCCAAGACTCTGAAGACCATGCAGAGCCAGAAGATGTTCAGCCAAATGGTGTTCTACATGGCATCTCGGCATGCCTTTTTTGTCCTTGCTCGCGGGTACAAAATGTGTAGGGAAGCTGGAAAGGCAAACTAAAAGGAGCATCACCATGCTCGGCGTCCCCCTTTTGACACATATCCATGTTGCAGCGTGGACAAATCTCGTCCTTCCCATAAATGACTCAAGTCCAAACGGATGGGCATGACATCAATGGAAGCGGATCCCTGCTTGCTATATTCAATCATGAGCGCTTGCAGGATTATTTTTTGACCCCGCATGAATAAGCCTGTCCATTAATGAAGTGGTGTGCCCCTCCAAAAGTGATGGTTGTCTACTGAAGGGGAGACCCCCCCCCCTAACCCCCCTATATTAATCAACCAGGGGTTCTACTTAGTCCCAGTTTTCTCGTGATGTGTTTGGCAGGCAAATACATAAGTTCGTAATTCTATTTTTGGGCAGTTTTCCAGAAGGCCCCTGAGCACCTGCAACAGAAATCCTCACTGCTTGGACTTAATGGACACTGTGCAGTTCGGATAATTCGGATCGTGCTAGTCTCAGCTATGGTCAGGGGCGCACCGTCCCTTTAAACAAGCTCAGTTGATTCCCCAACGACACATTTGTATGGGTTCTGCAGGCGGAACCCTTGCGGAACCTCCCCGTGCATCCCCAGAACTCTCGCGGAACCCTCGCGGAACTTCGCGGAACCCTGCGGAACCTGATGTCAGAGCCGCCCCAGACCACCCCGGAGCTTATCTGGGCTGAGACCCCATCGCTTTCGGCTGTTGGGGAACTAAGTAACCTGGCACCCCTTATGTTTTTGTTTTCTTTTCTTTTTTTCGGTCAAACTCCCGTATTTGGCCACATTTGCCCGTACTGCCAGGTTTTTGCCGGTCATTTGCGTAAATCACCCGTATGAAACCCATATCTTTTCGACATGTTGTTGAAAAAACACGTAAAACAATCCGGCCATTTTTTCGGTCAAAGGCGTATGACCAAAGAAAATGGGCATATGGGGTCCCAGGAAGGAGTGATCTATGTGAAGGGGTTCCCCTGCTTGGTTTCTGGAGCAATTTGAAGATTACACGAAGACACTTCAGTCTTAATAGAAGTTTAGGTTTTACACCAATTTGGTTGTGTCATTTTGAGGGTACCCCCGTTTTGGTTGCTTTCAAAGGGAAACCAAAAGGCAAACCAAAATCCGTTCTGGAGGGTACCTTTTCAGGTACCCTCCAACACGGACGCGCCTCTTTGTTGGTTTCCGATCGGAATTTCCAATCAAGTTGGGCTTCGGGGTTTTCAGGATCACATCAGCGAAGCCCGAGCAGAAGTTTGGGTTTTGCGAGGTGGTTGCCAAAAACGCTTCGCTTTTTTGGGAGTGGTTGCAAGAAAAGCAACCGGATAAACACTTTGTTCCCACTTTTGTGCTTGGCGTAAGGCGTAGGTCAGCTTGGCGTAAGTTAGCTTGGCGTAAGTCAGCTTGGCGTAAGTCAGCTTGGCGCAAGTCAGCTTGGCGTAAGCCCGATGTGTGTGGTAGCCCTCAGTATGGTCCTCCAAGTTGATCTGAAGTTAGGCTTGGGTCTGCAAGAGCAGGCCGTGCTGGACTATGAGAACCCTCGCATTTACCTCCAATAACTGGTTTCCTTAGTCCTAGTAGACGATAGAAATTGAGGAAACTCCTTTGGGGGTTTTCTTAAAAGGCGCCCCAAATAGAAAAAACACTCATTTGCCCATTTGGGGGTTCCCTAATCTAAGACGAGCAAATATGCCTTGTGGGGTTCCCTAATGCACATCCGTGCTTGTCGGAGTGTTGAGCAGATTTTCTGACGAGTTACCCCTTGCAACATTGGGTTCATGGGTTCGTGCTTCATTCCAATCCCGGATTAAACCCCTTGATTTGTATATCGTCCCAATTCGATTTTTTTGGGGAGAATACCAGTCCGAGGAAAACCTCTTGTGGGAGCCACGTCCTCAAACAACCTGGCCGAGTGAATCAGTGAAGGCTAGCGATGGGTGCGGATATCCCGCCCTTTCGATTGTTTACATGGTTTTGCATGGTTTTAGGTGGGTCTTCTTAAATTGTGAGTCAGGAGGCTCCAGGGTTATCAGGGATTCATATATACATTCAGCCTTCAGGAAGCCTGCGAGAGTGGATCCATGTTCCCGGACCTGGCAGATGACAGCAAGATCCTGGCTGTGACCGCCTCAAATGGCGAGGACAGCAAGCAGCTTCAGCCTACTTTCAAGGGAAACCGATCGAACGGGATCGAACAAACGGGTTCCGATCGCTTGTACCAAAGCAAAAGCGTGTATGCGTGTGTATGTGTCTCTCTGTGTGTCTGTGTGTCCGTGTGTTGTGTTTGTGCATCTGTGTGTTGTGTTTGTGTGTGTGTCTTTGTGACGCTGTGTCTGTGTGTCCGTGTGTTGTGTCTCTGCATGTGTGTGTTGTGTTTGTGTGTCTTCGTGTCTTTGTGACTCTGTGTCTGTGTGTCCGTGTGTCTGTTTGTTTGTGCGTTTGTGTGTGTGTGTGTGTGTGTGTGTTTGTGTGTCTGTGTGTTTGTGTGTCTGTGTGTCTGTGTGTACGCGTGTATGTGTGTATGTGTGTCTGTGTGTATGTGTGTAGGTGTGTGCATGTGTGTCTGTGTGTCTGTGTGTCTGTGTGTATGTGTGTATGTGTGTATGTGTGTATGTGTGTATGTGTGTATGTGAGTTATGTGAGTTATGTGTGTTATGTGTGTACGTGTGTATGTGTGTATGTGTGTATGTGTGTGTATGTGTGTATGTGTGTATGTGTGTGTGTGTGTGTTTGTGCTTGCGCGCTCAGCATTTGCAAGAACCCATATTTGTTAGCCCATTTAGTGTCAATCTGTTAGCAGCCCGTTGCTCACTGGATTCCACCCCAAATCCCTCACAAATACCAGCTGAGCTTAGAGGTCCCAATTTCAGTCGCGAGTTCTACTGACTTGTCACAGAAACTGCCCCAGGTTCCGGAAGAATGTGCGAGGTGCATTGCTTGATCAGTGAGATTGTCCATGATCTCATCAACAAGATATCTACATATACGTCAAATGTGTCTACAAATTGGTATATATCAATGTGCATAGCTAGTATACTGTATACATACACGCACAGTGGGGATATGTTGGAATCTGACTTCAAGAGTTTACGTCAAAGTAGATGGCATAATTCCGTTTGTGTGTGAAAGTAAAGGGGACACATGACGAAAATAGGTTGTGTTGGTGCGAACTATCACCCTGCACATGTTACTTTGATTTGTGAAGTCTGCTGGCTTCCGACTCCCCTGGCAGCCCTGGCATCGCAGGAGTCTTCCTGGGGCACCTACTGCGGTCGCTTCGCCCCAAATGGCGTTGAAGCTTTGGGAGCGATTCCACCGGTTTAACCAGGTGCTGTATTACTGGCTACGAAGCCGAATCTTCGGGCAACAATGTCACGCGCTGCTGGGACTGTTTGACCTTCATAATCCCCAAGTCGAGTTTGCAGACATCCGGATTTGCCCGTGTTCCATTGGAGGGAAGGTGGTTCCCTTTAAATTAAACCGCCCAGAGAATGCGCCTGTAATTCCCATTGCCACTAGTTTGGTTTGAACTTTTCCACGGGCTCCATGGTCTCGAAATGTCTATCATCATTGTTGCTCAGAGAAAACAAACAGGCCTCCCATGAAGTGTCATGCCTTGTCACTTGCTCGCCAATTTTGTGAAAAGTTTGGGCAGCTTACGTAAAAAAATCACGACCTCTTGGCTGCTTCCTCCGCTGCAGGTGGCCATGTTGTATCTCTATGCCAATCATTCAGAGAACGCAACAGATTCGCACGTGAACGATCCACTCTCACTTTCGATCTTGGTTGTTGACGAGTCCAGAGCGTGCAAGTGCCTTTGTCACGTGATGCTCGATGATTGGCAGCTTCGGAACACGATTTGGGTGATTTGCCGGTAGCTCAAACGCTACACGCCTGTTGCAGGTCACTTTTCAACTGCCCTTGGTTTCTTCATGCAGGCTGCAAGAGTTTCAACCTGTATCATACTACCTTGGCCAGTCTGCAAGTGTACGGTGCGGAACTGCGTTCTGAGGCGATGAGGCAGTGGTCAAGGGCAAGAACATCGGCTCTTGCCTGGGTATCTTGGAAGCACGAATCTTCTGGTGAGTTGTAGCGTGGTGCAGAGTTCCCACCATGTTTCCGATTTGATCCACCCTGTGTCTGGCTTGCTTCAATATCACAAATGGTAGAGAGATCCTATGGAACTTGCTGCATGAGTCCATGAGGAGGGCTGTCTGAAAATTCGGGGATAACAGGAGTGCTTGACATGCATGATGATGTTGTAAGAGGGTAGGACACTAATTTTGTCGCACGAACTGTGCGAAACTCGCCAATCTGCCCATGCCCATGTGGGTGACGTTGTCTGAGGTGGCTTTTGTAGGAGATTCTTGGATAAATCAACCCCCCATGATAGGGCAAGGGCTCGGTGTGGACAGTTCTAGTTGTGCCATTGGTTGGTATTATCATTTGCTCCAAGGGTCAAGTCTTCAGTGTTCCACTTGAGCCACAATCAAACCTGGATAGATGAAGGTTTCGGATAATGCCAACCACAAATGGGTGCCTTCGCCGCCTTTTCAATTTGCGTGGTTCTCGGTATACCATTTTAACAGCGGGTTTTAAACTTTTACTTGTTGGCTATCCTCGCGCTTCAGCCTTGGCATAGAGCCCAACAGAGCCGCTTTTAAGGGGATATTTGTCGTCGGACCAAGGCGTTGAATTCCGCTAATCATCGTTGGGTTCAAGAGTTTGGTAGACACGGGGGTAACTTGTTGATTTCCAGGGACATCCAGGGACTAAAAGGCCAAATTCCCGTCAATGGTTGGTTCCGGCAAACAGGGTTGAACTCCTGAGTTCCTGGACTTTAGTCACTTCTTGTGTCTGGACCATTTTAGTGGCAAACAAACAGTGACTCCACTTTTTTGTTGGCCAATCCACTCGACCGGAAGTGAGGAATGGGGAATGAACCCCAGGTCCGATGCCCAAGCCGTCAACCATGGGGTTGACGCCTGGCACGCAGGTGATTTGTTCTCTGTGAACTGGATGCAGGCTCGGGGTGCAAGACATGGTTTATATGGCTTCAGTTTGGAACATCCATGCATCCAAACTCGCTGCAGTCCATTTTTGACTTTGCCCGACCTACTGACACGAGCCTCAAGATGTCCATCGGACAAAGTCGCACACCTGCCGTGAAGGATTTTGCCAATGTTCAAGAAATCGAATCATTTCGAAACCAATCAATTGCTTGAACGTGTTTTGGAAGGCTGCAAGGAGTATTTCCTGCCTGCATGTGGATTCTCGGGAGCAAGGCAACATCGAACGCCTGGAATGCACCAGGGTTCCCCCTATACCGAGAAGCCTGCAAATTGGCAACAACGCGAAGCTTGACGCTTTCAGAATACATGTAGGAAAGCCCGTGCACATGCATGAATGAGATATGCACATCGGCATGACTATCCTAACGAATGACATTCATGAGTGGCTTGTGGTTCTTGTTGCTACCCTGGAGGTTAGTGCTTGGTCAAACCCACGGAGAAATGCCTTAAGCCAGCCGAAAGGGAGCTAGCAGCTAGCGCGGCTGGACGAGACCAGTGCGCTTCAAGGGACCTGAAGCAACCCAGAGCAGGACATCCAAGGATGGTTGACTGAGGTGGACTCTCCTGATATTTTGGGTCACACAAAAACGGTCCTTTTCAAACAGGAATCGCCTTCCTTGGTGCCAATTTCCGTGTCCTCAAGGACCTCGGGGGTTTTGAGTCAGCCCTCTGCCTGGAAAGGACGACGACCTGGGCAAGCTCTCGTCCGAAACCTTCAAGACGCAGATTGCGAAGGCCCCTTGAGAGATATGCCGCTGCAACACGAGCTACGTGTAATTTTAAATGTTCTAAGAAAAGGAGGTGACTGCTGAAGGACAGAAAATTGTCTAGTGGCACGGAACATCTTTGAACAAATCACTTTTACTTGCAGACAGCACTGCGGCCATTACTGAATCCGGAAACATGTTGACGTTCTAAATGTGTCTCCGTCATTTGCTTTGCATGCGTGGTGTATTTGTTTGTGTGTGTGTGTTTTGCTTGCCAAAGCTGTGGGGAAACATGACAGTTCAAAAGCATACCGCCCGGATGAAGGCATCCATGATCTCTGAAGAGATCTTGCGCCTGCGTGGACACCCAGTGTGTGTGTGTCTGTCTGTCTGTCTGTCTGTCTGTCTGTCTGTCTGTCTGTCTGTCTGTCTGTCTGTCTGTCTGTCTGTCTGTCTGTCTGTCTGTCTGTCTGTCTGTCTGTCTGTCTGTCTGTCTGTCTGTCTGTCTGTCTGTCTGTCTGTCTGTCTGTCTGTCTGTCTGTCTGTCTGTCTGTCTGTCTGTCTGTCTGTCTGTCTGTCTGTCTGTCTGTCTGTCTGTCTGTCTGTCTGTCTGTCTGTCTGTCTGTGTGTGTGTGTGTGTGCGTGCGTTGTCACTTGTGGTGAAGGATGTTTGTCCGGTTCGGCAGGTTTTCATTGCTGTTGTCCTACTTTCGGGGTGCGATGAGCTGTAAGGCTTGGAGGATCGGCTTCAAGTTGCTTAAGACTCAATTCATTTGCTGGATGAGGGCACGTCTAGGGTTTCGGGTGGTTCGCATTTGGTGCAAAAAGAGAGTGGTTGAGGGTGAGGGATAGTGTTTCTTGTCGCGTGGGTTGGAGGGCCAAAAGTTTCCGGCCAGCAGCCGGAGCTTTCGCGACGATTGGATTAGGCGCAACGTGTTGGCTTTTGCGGGGCGACAGCCAGGTCACGAAGCTGACCAACAAGAGCCACGTTTGCAGCAGCTGGGTGCAACGCGCAAATGCAATGGAGCGGCAAAGTCTGGGGGCAATGCGGGGAAGAAAACAAAAACGAAGACCTTTGCCCATGTAGAACCCGTTTGTTAGGACTCATTTGTTAGAACTCATCTAGGGTCACCCAACGTTTATGGTCATACCTTGTTTTGCGCGGCCAACGGATTGGCCAGGAGCACGTGAGGTTTGGTCTAAATGTCCTGTTTCTCTTGTCTACGGTTCATTTGGGGTGCCACACAATTCATGAGACTCTCTAAGTTCGCATGTCTCCTGGGGGGCGCTAGTATTTTGGACCGTGGCTCGCGTGTCAAAAAACAAGGAGCTTCTCAACGTGATCAGTAGATTTGCAATGCCTCAACAATGATGCATATATGTTGTTTGTTTTGTCCATACACAGCCCCAATTGCCTTTGATCAGGCTGTTTCAGGCAACGGCTTGCACATGAGCCTCGTTGCTCATCTCTCCGCAAAATGTATATTTTTTGCTGTAGATGTACACGCACCTAACATTGGAATCATTGTCAACTGCTGCCACCAAGCTGGTAGTTTGCGCAGCCGGTTTGCCTTGCTGGGTTTGTGTCATTCCAGCTGTCAGTAGTTGCCATTGCTTGTCTGCGATTCACAGTCTTCATGCAAGCTTGTCAAATGTCAATGTGATGTGAAGTGCAATTGCTGTAGTGTTGCGGGTGTGGTTGTGGACGTCGCGGCGCTTGTCATTGCTCTCAATGCTGCCGTTGCTGCTGCTACCGCAACCACCACCACTGCCGCTGCCGCTGGCTCGGGCGCTGCCGCTGCCGCTGCTGCTGCTGCTTTTGCCTTTCTTGCCGCTCTTTTTCGTGGTCGTGGTTGCGGCATGTGGCTGTTGCAACCATGGTCGTCGTCGCCTTCGTCGTCGCTGCTTTTGTCCATGTTGGAGGTTGTTAGCCTTAGCTGCTGCTGGCGTTTAGGCTTCGGCGACAAGTCGTTCGAGAACGAAGCAATCGGCAAGGTGGAGTCTCAAGGCGGGTTGATCCGTTTGTCAAAGGATGCTGACCATCCATGGAACATGGCTGGTGTCAGATTTTGATTTTGCGATTGTGGCATACCGTGCGTCTCGGGTTAGTTGCTGCTTTCTGTGTTTTTCTGTGTTGATTGCAGGGGGAGGCGTATGTGGGGGTTGATCAATCTTCCCTTCGGCCCCATGACCGTGGATAACTTTTCCCATACTCGCGGCTTTCCAACCCATGGCCGGAAGCTTTCCAACTGAAGGCCCGGCTCAAGGGTTTTTCGGGTGTTGCAGTAATTGCACTCTGAGGTTACTGGAAAACCAATGGGAAAAAACTCAGATATGAGGAAAGTCGTTGCTTTTGCTAGCCAATTGTTATACAGAACCTTATGCCTGAAAAGTCAATGTGCCAACACAATTCCAGGATGTAATGGTATAAGATCTGGAACAATTCCCTGTAGTTTACCCCCATGTTTCTCACTGCATTGAATTTAAAGTACCCCACAACGCCATTCTAATTGTTTACAGTATAGTGACCAACAATCAGTTGGCACATGGCTTGCCCCAGTTGTGCATTTCCCACACATTTGCGCGATCTCATGTGCGCTAACTCTACCTTTTGGTTGGGGATATCAACTGATTGTTGCTCACTATAGGCCGTTGTTCAGCTTCCCGCTAGTCGGTGGTTTGGATTTGTGGTGTGGCAGTGAAATGGGTTCCGCCTCTACCCTCGGCAAGAACCAGGGGTTCAATTCGCAAAACCACTAATCCAAACCACCAAGTAAGGGTAGGGTTATTTTAATTGGCCCGCCATAAAGTCTAAAGTTGATGAAACTAAGCCCAGGTGGCATCCCCAATAGCAACCCCACATGGTAAGGGTAAGGTGACTACTACTATACTACTACTGCTACGTCTACGACTACGACTACGACTATGACTACTACTACTACTACTACTGCTACTACTGCTACTACTACGACTACGACTACTACTACTACTACGACTGCTACTACTACGACTATGACTACAACTACGACTACTACTACTACCGCCACGACTACGACTAAGACTACTACTACTACGACTACTACTATACTACTACTACTACTACTACTACTACTACTACTACTACTACTACTACTACTACTACTACTACTACGACTACGACTACGACTACGGCTAGAACTACTACTACTACTACTACTACTACTACTACGACTACGACTACGGCTAGAACTACTACTACTACTACTACTACTACTACTACTACTACTACTACTACTACTACTACTACTACTACTACTACTACTACCTGTTTCTTGTCTTTTTGATCCTCCAGCCGTGTACACACGCCCGTTGCTTGTTTATGCGGCGCTATAGGCGCCCTGGGCGCCTCTGCAGCTCCCAGCGGCGCGGTGGATGCCCGTGACATCTACGCGCCTCACATGAGTTGCCGTAGAAATCTCCCTCGCTGCGTTCAGTGAGGCATCATTTTTCTTACCCTCCCAAGCATGGACGCCACCAGAGGGTCCGCTTGAAAGGAAAATGGTCCACACGAGGACCTCTCAGTCAGGTTCCATTAAAGTGGATGGGAGGGTATTTGGTGAAGAAAAAGCTGACTGTTTGGCCAGTCCACTCAGGAAGTGAGTTTAGTTTGGACTGGTTTGTGTGAAAAATCAAAGACCACTTGGCAGGCTCCCTTAAAGTTTGAACATTCTCCGCATCATTGTACAGCCATGTTCCTTGCTCGTGCAATGGGGGAACCATACTACCTGAGCTTATCGACTGCAAACGTTCATAAGTTGCCAGGATTGGTCATTCATTCCCACTCACAAACGACACCCTCCTAATAGCAACATGTCCTCAAAGTCACATTTTATCCTTCGGGGATCCCTTTTTTGGGTACCCGAGTTGTGGGCCCAGCCATTCAACAGCATTTTTCGAGTAATAACTTTTAACAGCCAAAGTCACACATCAGTGAGATTATCACAGCATTGACAGGGTATTATTTGGTCTAAGATCGTCAAAGCTTTTGCACTGGTTTGGGATTGTGTTCGCATTGACAGATCCATTCTTCAAATGCAGTTGGGTGTTTTGTTGTTGCTTGGGAAGGGCGCCTTCCTTGGAGTATTTCAGAGCACGGTCACCCCCCAAGTACAGGACCTTTCTCATGGCTTTCGCTGGTTGTACCGACCGGTGGGCTCGCTAGGCAGATGGTTGTTGGAAAGAGGCCACACTTTTCACCTGGAAAGGAACACCAAAAGGAACGTCTCCAATTTGAGGGCCCCCGCCCCACTTTGACGCATACCCGCCTTTTGTGTCTCCTTCTGTGGGTACTGGATACTGGCTACCTCCAAGTACTCCATCAACTCCAACAGCAGATACTGGCCTCCAGCAGATGGTTGTTGGAAAGAGGGTAAGGTCAGAGGGTACTTCTCAGCATCCGAGGTGACCCAGGCCTACTGGGCCTGGCAGCGAGCCGAGGGCGCGGCCAAGGAGAAGGCAAGCAGATTTGTCGAAAGGGTACCGCATCTTGGGGTGGCTTAAAGGAAACCACAAAGGAACACCGCCATTTTTGGGGGGTTCCATATTTTTCGGGACAAGCCCTTTTGCAGTTGGTTTGATTGGCACCTATGTCGGGGGGTGCTTTTTTGTTTTGACACATACCCATATGGACTTGGCTCATTGGTTTGGTGTGACCCGCAAAGCCCCCAAAAGGACCTTTTGGGGCCTTCGGGACACAAATTTGGAAGGCTTCTCCAGTAGACCAATCGACCTTTTGCCCAAGGGGGAAGAGACCCAGGCCTGTCACGTTGGTTTCAAGGGAAACTGAAAGGAAAGACACCATTTATGGGGTGCCCTGATTTTGACGCATTCCCATGTGAATCATGATCAAAACCTGGTGTTCAAGGATGCAGCATAAAACCATGTAGCGAATCGGCCGCACCTATTTGTGGCCGGGGTTTTCCCCTACCAACTAGCCTTCAACCACCTGGGTTTTCACATTGATTTGTCTCACTACATTCAGCTTTATAAATTGTTGGTGTCCCGCGTTTCCCATCAAAAACAGACCGAGGAAGCACACTCATATGTCTGTGACAGGAGCTGTTTTGCATTCAGGCTTCTCTCAAACAAAGACATTTCCATATGAAGTCCACTTTTGTTTCCTGTTGGTCATTCCTATTAGAGCGAAGCATAGGGCAAGGAGTTTTAGGCCATGGCACATGTTGATACCGTGGGGCGCTGGGGGCCAAATTGCAAGAGAGGCAGGATAATAACCTAATGCCCAATCTCCCCAGCTGAAAGAACGCGAGCATGCGGTTTCCTGACTTCCTATTTGGTACCCCGAAACATCTGGTCGAAAGGGGATGCTTCCACAATCTTTTGAGCGGTGCCTGCGCTTGGCTTGGTGTCCAAGTATGGCACCCTGAACTGTGAGTTGTTTGGAGGTGTCTTTGGTGAACTTGGGATATTTTGAACAGTTTGCACCACTCCTAGGTTTAGGGTTGAACGCTGACCAAGCTTCAGTGATTGCTGCATTTTGCACGGAGATGCAGTGCCAATGAGTACGAAGCCACTATTTGATCTCGCTGGCGGGACATCGTGCAAAATGGTCGAGCTTAGCGCCGATGTGTTCACAGAAAGAATAAACGGTTCAAAGACTGCGATCAACTGCGAGCTGCGGTTGACACCAGTTTGCGGAACCCTGTGGCCATGGTTGGCATTGGGGCCCGGATGCATTCCGCTTGCTTCCATTGAAATGTTCAGTTGATGATCAATTGTAGGGTTGTTCCACTGTACATCGGGTTCGGTTGGACCATTTCGGCCGGAGACATGGTTGTTATTGTAGGATCATGGTAGCGTGTCATGCCGCATTTGATGTACATAAGGCGACCAGGACAGTGCCGCAGCACTGGTGAGCCCAGAACGTACATTTGGTGATCCACACGGTGGCCCTTACTATAGTATCCAAATATGTCGGATTCAAACACCGTTCATGGTTGCAGAACATCGGGCAGGTTGCCACTTTGTAATACTGTAGTCATAGTCCTCACCAAAGACACCAAGCTTTCATACTTGAGCAAACGAGGGCAATGGGTTTGGGGATATGGTCAAGATCATGATGGCCGGGAATCCAACTTTTGCTGCAGGAAGTGGGAAGCATGGGAAGCAATAGTTTTTTAGATACAAACCCAAAAAAACAAAGTTGTTTAACAATCAAACAAACAGCAACAATCAGTTTTGTTTTCATCATTTAGAACAAACCAGGGCGTTTTATTTAAACAACAAAAGCTGCGGTTCTGCCGGATGCTGCAGGCCTGGCAGCGATTCCTGAGCGTCGTGAAGGACAGGGAGGCCGACGAGAAGTTGTTCGAGAGCATCGCCATGACGGCATGCGCGGCCACTCTTCGATGCGGGGTCCATGTGTGTTGCGCTCACTTGCTCAATGCGAATCGCCCTGAAATGACCTTTTTGGCTTCCCCTTTTTGGTCTATGTTGAGTCATGGCCCCAAAGGGTTGATAACCTTTGTTCCAGGTCCTTTCAACTGAGGCTGCATGTGCAGGGTTGTCAAAAGTTAGTTGGTAAATGGGCTGACAAGGACGATTTATCCTGCAGTCCATATCCTGGTGGGCCCATGTTGCCACTTGTGCCTGAAATGGGAAACGGACAGGATCCTGGATTCTCTCCTGGAATGGGACAAGTGAGTTGGCAGGCCTTGTCCAGGATGCGTGCAGTTTGGACTTGTTCGTCCGGTTGCTTGTATAGCCTGCGTGGATATTCAATATTGGCTTGTGTTTATCGGATGTTTTCACAATCTTCTCCACAGCGGATTAAATCTTGCACTTTACTTTTGCAGTTGGTCACTGGTTACTAGAGTTTGTCTCCAGAGTCATGACATTTTCGGCAATTTCTTCTTGCATCATGCTGGTAAGATATCATGATTGGCATGCATGTGCACCACAAACACTTTCAGTAGGATTTGACACCTTGGCACCTTTTATACACGAAGAGCGTACTGCTGGCGGCTGTCCTGTACTTTTACACTCGTCTGCTATTTTGTGCGTTGAATCCGCTCGTGTTTGTTTGGTTTTCTTCGCACTTTGATGCCACAGGTGTGCCAACCAGCCGACCAGCCAAACAACAACCTACTGCCTTAGGTCGTCGCGACCTTGCCATGAGCATCACATCCGGGCCATGTAGAACGAGCTCACTAATTCCGGCAAAGTGCGACGCGATGTGCGAAAGGAAAAGCCCTGAGCAACAAAAGGGCCCATCAATTTCAATAAAGCCAGGGGGCAAAGCCGAAACCCTCCTAGTAGAAGACCTTCATCATGCGAGCCCGTTTAGACCCCCAGTCAAAGCGATGGGCTACCCGCAAGTCCCCAGGCTTTGTAGCGGCTGGAAACGCAATGCAATCTTCCGCAGGCAATAACCTTACGCACTCTCCAGCAGTCTCACTAGCTGACATGGACAGGTCCGTCATCGCAGCTGCGGGTGGCGGGCCATCTCCAGAAGTATCGCTTATTTTTTTTGGGCAAGGAGGTTTCCTTATTTGTCTGGTTTGGGAAATGTTGTTTCACTGGGAGGTTCCCTTGTTGCCTTCGTTTCCAGCTTACTTTGAGGCTTTTCTCGGATTTTCCCCACATCAAGCGCCGCATTTGTTGCTTGGCCTCAGCAAGTATTCCGAGGATGTGAACAAGGTGGACTGCTCCAAGCAGCTCCTTGGCGATCGCGCCGAGATGAAGGCGAGCTCCGATGCAGCGGGATTTGGCTTCTTGGGAAAAGCAAGGACAAGGTTTTTCAGATGCAGTAGATTCCGGTGTTTTACGGATTCTCGGTATTTGGGGTTTGTGATGGTATTTTTGTTTTTGTTGGGTGTTTGTTGTTTGGACGGTAACTTTTCAGGTTGGTTTAAAAGGAAACCACAAGAACAACCGCCCGTTTACAGATATGCCCCTCTGTTTTGACACATACCCATATTATTTTGTTTGGCGGGCTTCCCGCAAAACATTTTCAACCCCTTTTGTTTTACTTTTTATTCAACCCCTGATTCGTGGTTGGTGGAAAGGGTTTCTGATGCAACTCCACGAAGGTCCTGTGGACCCGAGTTTGAGACCGATCTCTCCATTATTTTGCTGGTACTCAGTAGGGTATGACCCAGGATGTTGGGAATGAGCCTAGGGATTCTGTTAGAGGAGCCATGGGAGATGGTTTATAAGGGTCATTCCCTCATTCCCTGCACAGAACTAGCAAGCTCTTCGACATTGGCGGTTTTCTGGTTCTCACGATGACATATTTTCTGTTCAAGGCACTCGGTTCGATTCTGCTCTGTTTGAATCTTTGTCCCCAAAATGATTGAGTGCCTATTGGCTCTCCGTTGTAACCAACAGACAGCCGGATGCCCCTCAACAAAGCAACACCCATTACTGTTGTGCCTTGTGGTGGGATGCTCGTTCTGATTCAGCGGCCGCTGCCATATTGGTTGAGCTCTTGTGTCAGTGGTTGTGTTTTATCCCTCGGAGCATGTTGCATGAAACTTCCGTCAAAGTTTCCTATAGTCGAAGTCCATGCGGGAGGGGCATGGAGCCCTGGGGAAAGAGCCACTAGATTTCACGCAAGCAGAAACGGAACCCTAATATTCCCATGTGAGTGTGTGTGTGTGTGTTTTGTAGGTGACTCCCCAAGCAAGGTTTTCCGTGCTCATCCCTTGAAAACCGCCACGAATTGTGCATCTACACGGGTAGTGGTTTGACCGTGGCTCATGGTGCATTTGACTGAAAGAGCGAAGGGCCTGTTTTGACCCAAGGACAAGGTTTCGAAGTAGGGAACTCGGTCGTTTTCAATTTGCCATCATGGATTTTGTTTGCAATTTGGACGCTGAGCCTCTGAATATTGGCCACGGGATGTTGTTCTGTCGACCATGGGTGTTGGGTTTGCCTTCTCATGATTCTCCTGTAAGTGTCCCATACGGGGGGGGACCTGTTGTTTTGGTTGGAGATCCCAAAAGACAACCCCGGTTTGGTTTTTGAAAGGAATACTTCCTCTTGGATTGTTTCCTTTTGTGGCAACAGGCCTCTTTGAGGTCGCACCCATTTAAAGAGAAGCCAAAAGGAAGTCTTCCTCAAAATCAGAGACAGAGAAGGGTTGGGAAAACTCGTAAACAAGCCATGGCCCTGCTAGGGGAAACCAATAGGAGGTTGTTTATGCAACAGTTTCCTCCAACACATACCGGGGTGGCGCCCAGCCCTGCGACAAGGAGAATAACATGGGAGTTGCCCAAGAAAGGTCAAGCCCTTTTTGCTTGGTATCTAAAGCGAAGCCAAAAATAAACAACATCAAGAGATCGCTTCTTCGCCTGAGAACACTATGAAACACCCATACTTGCAATATACAGAGATACATGCGCAATATTATATATATATATATATACATATATATATATATACACATAGCGACACACACACACACACGCGTGCATGCATGCATGCATGCATGCATACATAGTTACATACATACATACATGCATACATACATACATACATTCATACATACATACATACATACATACATTCATACACAGACACAGGCACAGGCACAGACACATACATGCATGCAGGCATGCACGCATGCATTCATACACATACATACATGCATTGCGTTGCCTTGTGCTGCATTGCATTGCAGTGCAGTGCAGTGCAGTGCATGCATACATGCATGCACGCAAACATACACACACATACATACACACATGCACACTCACTGCACACATACATACCTACATACATGACATACACAACACACATAGCATACTCAATATACATAACACACACATTTCTATATGTCATTCATATCACACACGACATACATGAACTTTGTAACACAAATACCACACATAACACACATAACATACCTACGTGCATAACATACACATCATGCACACCATGCATCTCACACATGACATACACACCATACATGAAATGCATGACACACACACACAACATACATAACATACACAACATACATAATATGCATAACAACCACAACATACAACACATACCTGTCACCCACACCATGCATAACATTTATACATAGATATGCATATACACAACATAACAACACATACCATAACATAACATACATATCATACATAGCAAACACACCATACATCACAGCACCTACATACATACATACCTACCTACAAACACACATGCACACATGCATACATGCATACATGCATACAAACATCGCACATATAACATAATTTGACACACAGAACACACTATAACATATCACAACTAAAAGGCAACAAGCAACACACACGCACATGTATACCATGTAAACCATATACAACATGGAGGTCTCTATGCGTCTATGCGTCAGTAAACCGCGCTTGGAGGACCTGGACTGCCACTACCGCCTGGCCCACACCTTGCACGCGAAATGCCCTGCCTCGGAGAGCCATCACTCTTCTGGGGGCTGGAATGGCTACAACATGAAGTTCTCCCAGGCGAAAACCTCACGACCAGTTTGTTTTGGGCATCCGGTTGACCATGCACAGCATCACTTAAAATTTGGGTTTGTGTCTAAATGAGCAGGGGCCCATTTCGCTGGATTTGAAGGGCTGACAAAACTATATGTCCTTTTTGGCATTCCCTGAAGCCGGCACACGCGGCACCAGGGGTCTACAAAAGGGGCCAGCTTTTCAACCACCCAAAAGTCAACCGCATCCATTTGTGGTGGTCCCTAATTTTGAGATGCCTCCGTCATCGCTCGACGTTGCCACCCGAGATGCCGGCTCCGTTGCATGATTAGCCAAACAAATATTTGAATGCTCCACATGTCGAGAATTCGCGTATCTTTCGTACCCTTTTTCAACAACAAATTGGAACTGTATGGGAGGGTTTCACCTGCCCTAAAAGCGCATTCTGCACAACCAAGCTTAGGGGACGTTCGGTTATGAGGCCAGTTTTATCCATTTTCTATAATACAGAGGCACATTGCTGGTCCACTTTGGGAAGACAGAATTCGCTAATTTCCATGCGCCAAGCCCCAGGTGAGAACTAAGCACAAGACACCAAGCCGCTTTGAAGCTCCCTTTCAAGTGCCCCATGCAAGAAAAGTCAATCAGACCCATGGTGCTTGGCAGCCCATGCCCCAAACGAGTGTCTTTGGTTCTCGGGTGGCA